CGACATTCCTGCATTTAGAAGAAAATATTAATCTTTTGGTCGTGTCAATATCGATAATAATGAGAACTTGATTATCTCACTAGAACTTGGAGGCTAATAATATCAACATGAATTAACTGATATTAACATTAATTATGTTGACAGTAGATTACTTGGTGCTTGTTGTTTGTTTTAGATCATAGAAGTTAGCAATATCAATAGGGTTATGTAGATATCAATATTATTGAAAACTTGATTAGCTTATCAAAACTTTTAAGCTAATAATATCAATAAGGTTATGTAGATATCAATATTATTGAAAACTTGATTAGCTTTCTAGAATTTTTAGGCTAATGATATCAACAGAGTTATACAAATATCAATATCATGTTGATATTAACATTACATGGTGTTATGTTTTTTGTTCTTTCCAGATTACAAATGCTAAAAATATCAACAAGGCTGTGTTGATATTAATATTTTCAAATTTATATTTTTGGTAAATTAAATTTATGTTGGGGAGATTTGACTAAAGGATATAAAATAATGAAATGAAAAGGTAAGGCATTGTATTTTAATTATTAAGATTAAGAATTATCATTTGAGATATAATTTTAATTTATATGTTTGATTTACAAGTATATCATAATCATGACAAGAATAGAAATTTTTAGTTAGACATATGTTTGTTTTGTTATAAATAGCTAGATGTTAGATAATGTAAATTTTGATGTTGTTAAACTTATGGAATGGTATGTAATTAATTAGATTATTTTAATTTAATTTGGTAATTATTATATATCTTGTGGTTAGGTATATTAGTTCATTTTTCTTACTATAAATTTTACCTTTTTGCTCATTTAGTCAATATTAGATAATGTAATTTGGTTTTTATGTATTGGAATTTAGTTTTATGAATGAATTTGTTTTTTAATTAACGTTCGTATTCAGATTAGCTTGTGCGCATCTCGACTAATCCCATAAACCCTGAATTTAATGACCATATAAGCCTTTAGTGGTTTTAAGATAACTCAAACTTGTGATCATTAGAGAGCAAACCCAAAACCTAACTAGTTAAACTATTCTTTAAATTTATGAATGAATACTTATATGGCCATGTTGTTGTTGCTTTTAACATATAAACATAAGAAAGGGAAATAGAGTTGGGAAAAAAAAATGACTTATGCTACAAATATGATGGTTATAATTCAAGATGATTAGATTGAGTTTGAGAAAAAAATTTAATTGATAAGTTGGGATGTTATAAATATAAAGGAAATTTTGCTAAAAAAAAAGTAATGTTTATTGTCTATGATTAACAAATACTTTGCTAAAATATAATATTATTTTCAAAATTAGAGTTGTTATAAAAGCATATCAAATTTATTGTATTAATCTAGTAAGATATAATTTTGAGAGGTTTTAATTACAAAATTAAAATAAAAAGATGATTAAATAAATTAGACTGTGAGTTATATTTGGTACTTAAATAGGATCTAATTTGATTAGATATGAGTCAAGTATGACATGATAATTATAGATATATTGGATCATCTATAAATTTATAGAAAACTCATCTTGATATGATATATTTTGCTTTTTATAATTATTAATTTTAAAAATTATATTTTTTGATGTTAAAATTTATGATAATCTAGTTTAGATTTATGTAATTTAATTTTAAATTAAAATAAATATTTTTTAAATAATAACCTACTCAATATTTCATTGAAATTAATAAATTTATTATTATTTATAAATGCATTTATGAACTTTTTAGTTTATAGCTAATTTTTTTATATGATAAAAAAACATTAAAAATAACATTCATACTTTTTTAAATGTAGAGAAAAAAAATGAAGCTCCATTCCGCAGACCACGGGAATCAAGCTAGTGTTATATTACATGGTTGAAGTCACAGTCAAACCCTGTACTGCAAATTAAAATAATTTATTTATTTATTTATTTTTAAAGGAATGCCACAAGAAGTAAAGTTAGAATGATGAAGATGATGCAATAAGATTGGGGTTGCTTTACATGATGGGACAACACAAGAGCTAATTACATTGGTGCCAAAAAGACTCAAAATAGAACACACTAGTTAAATGACCCGCGCGATGTCGCGGGTCAATAATTTTTGCATAAAAAATATCAAAAAAAGTTAAGATCTAAAAGTATTAGGTTTTTTTGTAAAGTTACATCCAAGAGTCTTGTATGTGGGGCTGGCTGCAAAGTCATGTCATAAAAGTGTGATAATTGAATAGATTAATTAAAAAAAACCAAAAGAAAGAAAAAAATTAATGAAGAAAAAGAAAAAAATCTGAATTAACTGAATTAACCCTTCAAACCAGGTTAACCTGTCAAATCTTAGATTTATGTCATGAAAGTTTGATAACTAAATAGAAAAAAATTTTTGATGGGTTAACACAAAATTAATTGGGCGAACCCGTCAAACTCAAGATCC